GTTGTTAGTTGTTAGTTGTTGTTGTTGTTGTGTGTGTGTGTGTGTGTGTGTGTGTGTAAATACTAACTTTATGGCTTTACGATGAATATCGACAGCATAAATTATTGCTTTATAAATTACAATTTCATTCTTTACATTATTTTCTAAGATATTGGTCATCATTGCGCGCTCAATACGATAACTATAAATGATAATTTTGTTATTATGTAGGTTTCTCGATTTACATAGAGATGATTCAAAACAAATGTTTTGTGTTCTATATTTTTACCTGGCGATTTTAAATAATCCACAAGCATGTTTAAGATATACTATGAGCATCGTTCCTGTCGCTATATATGCAGTTGCCCCTATACAAGTGGCTGCATTAATGTGTAGCATGATTAAATAAAAATACTTTTTCTGGTCAATAAAATATTCGGTCATAATGGGCATAACGAAACTTGGTCGAGAATTGTTCATGGGTGCAATGATATCGAGAATGCACGGCCATATTGGCAGGAAAATGACAGTAAATCCACTGCACAATGTAATCTCTGAATATATTTAAAAAAAGTAATCATATTTTGTTATCTGCAAATGATAGAATTGCTATTTGCAAATAAATAATAATGTGAGTTAGCGAGATTTAAGTTAGAAATATTTTACTACACGTGATCAAAGAAAGATAAAAAGATAAAAGAAAATAAATGACATATTTATGAAGTTAGCACTTGTATCAATCATTTTGTATAAATCATATTTTTAAATTCCTTGATATATCAAAATTTATATATTTTATAAGTTTGTTTATCTTTGTCTTATTTTTCTTTGTTATACTCTTTTATTTTAAATAAGAAGTATTTTAAATTCTTAATAAAATAATAAAAATAAGATAAATGCATGTTTCTTTCTATATTTTATATTTTAATAAAATATATCATTCTATTATACAAATTTAAAGCAATAAAGATAATTTATTATTTTTTAATTATGAAGATTACAAGAAATATATTTTTTATTTGCGACATGCGCGCACGCGCAATGCAAATTAATAGATTTATCTTACTTATGATTCTAATTGTATAACGTTTTGCGTTATATCCGTATTTTTCTATAATGGCAATTTCGTTTTCATCTTTTAACTCACTATAGATGTGTTGAAGTTGCTCCAGTAAACTCTTGACCTATTATATCAACAACATTCTGCTGTTTCTCATAAAGTTTGAAAAAACTTATATAAACATTAATTTATAGTGAATAAGTAAATACTCAACTTACAGTTTGAGTATTAACCAGAAACGAATTGTATTTAATTAGAAATGAAATAAAAAATGAAATGTACGAAAAGATTTTGATGGTAAATTCTAATGTGCATTCTGCAGTCAAAAAAGTCGTGAACTGTAATATAATAAATTTATTGAAAACTTTATATTAATAAAATAATCTTTTTACTTAAGTAACAGGTGCAAGTTGAAAATAATCAGTTGTTGCTTTCACATACATAATATTCTAATAAAATCTTCTAATGACAATATATTATTCTTATTTGATTTCAATGTAATAAAAAAAATATATAATGAAATATATATTTGCATATATATATATATATATATATATATACACATATATATACACAAATATATTTATATTTATATTTATATTTATAATTATATAATATTAAATAATTAAATATTAATTTTTTATTTGGTTACTATGTAATAGAATGATTTAAGATATTGACATACCTGAAATACAATGCAACTTATTAAAATACTAAACAATAATGTTAATTGAATTCGAACAAGCCTTGTTTGCTGATAAGGCCATAAGCCAATGGCAATTAAAAGAATCCGATTCAAACTAAAATAGTGAGTCTCAATCATTTCTTGTTAATCGAAAAGCATTTGATTGTGAAAAAGATGACTGCGTTTCGCATATCTCCTCCTACTTTACAGTTGAATATTATGAAACTTCCCTTTTTCTACGCTAAATTCTCACGCGATATATAACGCTATAGCCTAATTCAGTGTAAATAGAACGTAATATAAGATATTCTTATGCGTTGAGCAACCTATACTTTCATAATTTTGTGGGGGAAAAAACGATTGACTAAGAAATGCCGAATAGACACCAGGTGTTTATTTCTCACAGCAAAAACACTCGTAATATGACTTCTTTATCGAAGTCTACGCAAGCGCGAGCCATTCGTTTCCAACAACATTGTTTTCGATATTTCATTTCTGTGCGCACACTTGAAGAACACGTTACATTTTTTGAAGCAACATACGTCGAAGCAACATAAGTTAGCACAAGTTAACTTAAATCACCTATGAAGTCATTATCTGAAAGGTAGAGTAAACTACAAAGTGTTATAGATATATATGATAATGTTATAGATAATGTTATAGATAATGTTACGAGATATGAAGTTGACAATATTATAAATATAAGATAAGAAGTTTTGATTTAAGAAATGTGCTATTTATTTAAAAGGTTTTATGCTCTTACACTCTATTAAAAAATTTAAATTTTCAATTATGCATTGTGTTAATCTTATTGTGTTAATCTATAATTTTTTAACTTGGATTTGCGATCTTTTCCTGATTTTCTATTAACTGTATGCTATATAATTAAATAAAAAGAGCTAGTTTTAAACACCTTAATATATCTGTCTTTCAGTAAAAATTTTAAATGATTGAATATCATTAACAAGTGTTTAAATAATTATGAATTTTATTAGTTTTCTTATAATACAATCGTTAAAACAGGCGGTAACATATGATTTCATTCATGCAAGCTCTGTTTAGATTACATTCTATTTTTTTAATTATGAGAATAACTTGACAGCCAATTTCTGTTAAATTTGAATAATATATCTTCATTACTGCAGAGAATACATAAAAGTGAAATAAGATATCGATGCTTTTATTAACTGTAATGAAATATGTTTTTTATTGTATTATCAATGCAAAAATCCTAAGTTATAACTATAATATATGATACATAGCGATTATTACCACGGCAAAACACTCTAACGACACACCAAATAGTTTGCCGACATTCAAAACAAAAACTTTGCTACCTTTTTGCAGTATAAAGAGTATTAATTTTTGCGTGTGTATGGGTGCTACGTACCATCCAACATTGTATCTATAAAATAATATTAAATAAGGAAGTTTGCCAATATAACAGTTATTAGCTACATCATGTCTATTTCTTTCCAATTGTAGTCAGTATAATTAATAATATTAAGAAGGAGAGAGAAGAAGGGAAGACAGAGTACAGATTTTTATAAAATTACTACCCCTAGTAACGCAAACATATGTGTGTGCGTGTATATGTGCGTGTATGTCATTACGCGCGCGCGCACGTGTATGTGTGTGTGTGTGTGTGTGTGTGTATTTATTCTCTGTGGAATTGAGATTATTGAGAGTAAATGGATTCAGACATATAATTGCTTAATAAATATAATTGCTTTTTGCCGATAAATTAAAAATCTTCCCTCTTCCTTTCTGCGACAAACAAATATGTATCGATAATAAATCAGATATAAAAGGATATATTGATTATTCCCATATTTGGTTCAATCTTTATATAACTATCATATTTATTAATTTTTAATTTTACTATTCGGGTAAATACTACAATCAGCAATATCAATTATACGAATATAGTACGAAACAGTCTCTTACGCAGTAGTATATACATAATTATTGTGATCTGCAACTTCTTGTCCGACATAGTTAGCTAAGAACATATATAAAAGAAGGACAGACAAAATAACAACATGCAGTACGCATTCCTGATTATTTCCAAGCGATGCAGACTGGAAAACCTAAAATATTATAATTATTATGAAAACTTTATGTATATTTAACAATTATTTTATATATAAAAAATATAATGTACTATAAAATTACGAATAAGTAATATAAATGTAATCTGAATAATTTTTTCTAAAAATTTTTAATGCATTGAAGACGAATTAGCATTTATTTGCAATTATTTTATATAAAATTATTTTATTTATATTTTTTATTTTTGTTTTAATTTTCTGAAACATCACGAATAAATTACATAAATTATTGAACATTATATAAAGGAAAAAACTCACTGAAAAAAGATTGAGACTCAAGGAAATTACACTGACTAATATTATCAAAAAAAAGGATCCTTGAAAACTGGATAATAAAAATTCGGAATACCTTAAAAAAATATGATTACAAATACTACAGAATTACTATGACATGTATTCTATATATTAAATAAATCAACACAACTTTATAGCTTTGCGCTGAATGTCGATGGCATAACTTATTTCCTTGTAAATCATAAATTCGTTCTTTGTATTAACATTTTCGAACGCTTTCATTGTCATTGCTTGCTCAAAACGATAACTGTAAATTGATTACACAGTCTTACCGAATTTGTTTATATTAATATATTTATAATTAAAGTTTTGTTTACAAATCCTTTTGTTACTTATTTATAAGTATTATTAACTTTTGTATATAACTATTCTTAGGCTCGTTTTTTTACCTGGCAATTTTAAACATTCCACAAGCATGTATGAGGCATCCTCTGAGCATTGTTCCTGTTGCTGTTACTGTAGTCGCTCCAATAGATAAGACTATATTGATATGCAACAAAATTAAGTAAGAATACTTTTCTTGATCGATAAAGTATTCAGTCATAAAATATAGCATTTGATATGGCTCAGATTTATTTATGTGTAAAATAATACTAAGCATCGGCATCAAAAATGGCGTTATGTATGCAATAAATAAGCTGCATATAGTAAAAACTGCAAACATTTTAAAAAGAGTAATTATATAAGTTTTACTATTTTCCTATGTTTCGAAATAATAAATGTTATACATGTTTCAAATTTCTGTATTCTAAAAATATCTTTCGAGTTTATCATCTGTTGTAAAATGTTTTTACAATTATTAATTAAAAATTTTTTATATTTCTAATATAAAAATAAAATTATACATTTTGTGAAGATATATTTGCATGCACATTTGTTTTTTTACTTTATTATTCTCAATACATATTTATATTCTAAAAATATGAAAAATAATTTATAATTTATAAATATCAGTTATTTAAATTAAATTAATAATTTAATTTCTTTTTTAATTTATTAAACAAACTTGAAACATATATATATTTACATATATTATCTTACATATAATTACAGCAGTATAACGTTTCGTGTTGTTTCCATATTCTTCCATAATATTGATTTCGTTTTCATCTTTTAGTTCGTTACAGATTTCTTGTAGTCTCTCCAACAAAAGTTTTACCTTTTATAATATTTAACGTGTTTCTTATTGGAAAGTTCGGAAAAGATTGTCATGTATGGAAACTTATTGGAAACTTATATATATGAAAAATATTTTTTTATTTGAATATGAACATACAAGTTCAACTTACATTAGCGGAATTAATCCAAAATGAATTATATTTTATTATATATATACTAGAGAAAATTGTGACAGAGAGAACTTTTATTATAACTAAAGGAGTGCATTCCGCAGTCAGAAATGTGGTAAGCTGAAAAAGAAATTTATTCATAAAATTACATTAAAGGATTGCACTATTCCTTTGTTTGTTTAACAATTGTGATAAGAATTTTTATAAATTTAAAATAACCTGCTTTGTAATAAATTAAAATCAAAATTTTTATAATTCTGATTATATGATAATACATTGCATCACATTTCTGTTAATATTTGATGTGATAGTGTGATTTGATAAAAGTTTTGAGAAGATTAATTTTTATTACAATTAGTAATTTTTGGATTTATTATAAGTAAGCAGCTTATTATAATAGAGGTGGCTTATTATTATACTAGCTAGAACTAGCTATTAAAAAGGTAGAATATAATCTAAAATGCACATACCTGAAATATAATAGAACTTGTTAGAATACTAAGAATTAAAATAATTTGAAATCGAACAAAATTTGATTGATTATAAGGCCATAAACCAAGAGCAAGTAAAAGAATTTTATTGAGACTGAAATATTTGGTTATAATACAGATCATTACTCCACGAATATGCAAATGTATTTGACAATGAAAGTCAGCGATAAAGATCAAGAAAGATGTGCGTTTTCCCATACGATAGAATACCTTATATTTGCCATATTTATAAATTGTATCATATATTATATAATTAAATATAAATGTAATATTAAGTGAAAGTGCCACTTTGAATTTATAACACATGCAATTTAACAATTTTGAGGAAGGGTCGACGATTGAGCGATCAATACAATGTGGGAAATTGAACGAATGTTTATTTCTTCTAGAAAAATGCATATGTTTCCTAATAGAAACTTGTATAAGTGTAGATCAGTTTCCAATAATGCAACATGTCTCATTCGTTTCATAATGCGGACTTGTAAAATGCATTGGTCCTTTAAAGAAATGACAATAATGCAATTTATCGACATATCAGCTATTGATTTATTAGCGGTAAGATTTATTGCAAACAACGTCGTTTTATAAATTCTTCCATATATTTTCAGAATTAACATTTCTTACAATTTTCTTTAGATTATCGGTCAACTATATAGCGTTTCTAATGTTTTTTTTAGATCATGTAATGGCATGCAATTTAAATTTAACTATTTTTTATTAGTGTTATTCTATTACATTATTACTTTATTCATTTTATGTCAGTTCTGTGTAAAATGAAATATGATACTAAGTGTAATGAGATTTTTTTTCGTTTTTCTCTGTTTAAAATACAAGTTGCATTTAATACATATACATATTTTGAAATGTATATTTCTTATTGTAACAACATATACTAACGATCTTATAAATAATTAAGAAATATTTAAGAAATATTAAATATCTTTTTATAAGAAAACCAATGTCATCTTTATTTGAAATAAAATAACTTACTACTGAACGTTGTATTTACATCATAACGATATAATGATTGATAAATAAAAAAAAAAAGCAATTATATAATTTTACTACACATTGTTTTAAATTTATTGATTATAATTTTTATTATGTTAATCTACACAATGAATTAAATAATGATCCTAATTATTTGGGATATTTAAAGTTAAAATTATTTATATAAATTGAAATTTTTATTTTTTTCAGAAAGAAAAATTGCCTAAAAGTCTGTACAGGAAATGTCTGATTAAATATTGCGTTATAAAGCGTGTTAATAATTGTATGTATATGTATATGTCTAGAAAATGATTGAGTTTTCCAAATGTAAATGAACGTAAATCAATTGAATGTTTTATCACCTCAAACATTCTTTTTACCTGCTCAATTTGATTGTGGATATCTCGGTGGATTAAAGATGCAGAATGTTAAGTTTAGAATATAATATGCGTGACAATTTTCGAGATGATTTTGAGATGAATATCATTAGCTAAAATAAAATATTTTAGTGGATTTTGAAAATTTTGTAGCAACGAGATGATCGATTCAAAGCGCCGAATAGATAGCAAATTAATATTTCTCACAGCAAGAACATTTATAATGAAACTTCTTTATTGAAGTCTAGCAAATATGACTCACTCCTTTCTAGCAACATTGTTTCAGATATTTTATTTCAGTGCATGTACTCGTTACTCGAATACGTTACATTCGAGTACATACGATATATCTTGAACATACATTGGATTATCTTAGAAGTTAATACAAATTACTTACGAAATTATTATTGAAAAAATGAAAAATAGAGTAAACTATAAAATACAGATATGTAGGATCTATGAATGTGATTTTGTTTAAGAAACGTGCTACTCATTTAAATAAAAATTATATTCTTGTACTCTGTTAAAAAATTCACTCTTTTAATTGTGTATGTTAGTTTATTATATTTTTGTAACTTGGATTTTTGATCTTTTTCCGACAATTTTTTGTCGGTTATATTTTGTAAAATTGAATGAAAATATTAATTTCAAATCTATCTACATATTTTTTAAAAATCAGATAACTGAAAGTTTTAAATAAATAGATATTTTTGGTGGATATTTAAATAATTGTGAACTTTTATTTTTTTTACAGTGCAATAGTTATAAAGTAAAATTAACATATTATTTAAGTTTGTGAAAATTTTGCTTAGATTATATATTATTTTTTTAATTATGAGAATTACCTTGCACAGCCTGTTGAGTCAAATAATATATCTGTTTTATTGCATAGAATACATAAAAGTGAAATAAGACATCGATGCTTTTATTAACTGTAATGATATATGTTTTTTATTGTATTATCAATGCAAAAATCCTAAGTTATAACTATAATATATGATACATAGCGATTATTACCACGGCAAAACACTCTAACGACACACCAAATAGTTTGCCGACATTCAAAACAAAAACTTTGCTACCTTTTTGCAGTATAAAGAGTATTAATTTTTGCGTGTGTATGGGTGCTACATACCATCCAACATTATATCTATAAAATAATATAAGTAAGAAAGTTTGCCGATATAATAGTTATTAGCTACATCTATAAATTTCTTTCCAATTGTGGTCAGTATAATTAATAATACTAGAAATGAAGGAGAGAGAAGAAGGAAAGACAGAGATATAGATTTTTATAAAATTGCCGCAATTTGTACCCCCAAACATGTGTGTGTGTGTGTGTGTGTGTGTGTATGTGTGTGTGTGTGTGTGTGTTCGCGCGCGCGTGTGTGTACGTGTGTGCGTGTGTACGTGCGTGCGTGCGTGCGTGCGTTTATATGTATATCATTTGCGCGCGTGTGTGTGTATGTGTATTTATTACTCTAGAATTAGATTATTGGGAGTAAACGGATTAAGACATAATAAATATAATTGCTTTTTACCGATAAATTAAAAATCTTCCCTCTTCCCTTCTGTGACACACAAATATATATATCAATAATCAGATATAAATCAGATATAAAAGGATATATTGATTATTTTCATATTTGATTCAATTTTTATGTAACATATTTATTAATTTTTAATTTTATTATTCGGGTAAATACCACAATCAGCAATATCAAATAATATATGAATATAATACGAAACAATCTCTTACGCAGTAGTATGTACATAATTATTGTGATCTGCAATTTCTTGTCCGACATAGTTAACTAAAAACATATATAAAAAAAAGACTGACAAGATAACAACATGTAGTATGCATTCCTGATTATTTCCAAGCGATGCAGTCTGGAAAATCTAAAGTATTACAATTATTAAAGTTTTATTTGTGTATTTATGTATTTAACAATTATTTTATATATAAAAAATATAATGTACTATAAAATTATGAATAAGTAATATAAATATAATCTGAATATTTTTTTCTGAAAG